TCGGCTCTAGCCCTATCCGCCTCCCCCCTTATGGTAAAACCTATCTTGGTGTCGTCGGCAAATTTACTTATCTTACCCTCTACGCCGAGATCCAAATCGTTTATGTAGACCAAAAACAGAAGCGGTCCAAGGACCGAGCCTTGAGGGACACCGCTTGCGACTCCGACCTCCTCCGACGCTTCCCCATTTATCATCACCCGTTGCTCTCGTCCTGCCAACCAGCTACTGATCCACTCACTCGTCCTACCCTGGATCCCGTGCGCCTCCAGTTTAACCCGCAACCTCTTGTGAGGAACGGTATCGAAAGCTTTCGCGAAATCTAAATAGACCATGTCCACGGGATTCCCCTTATCTCTCTCCTCCGTCGCCCAATCGTAGAATTCGAGCAAATTGGTGAGACAATTTCGACGCCTCCTAAAGCCGTGTTGAGAGTCTCGAATGAGCGCGTTTCCTTCGAGGAAATCCAAGAGATGGTCTCTTAGTATGCTCTCCATGATCTTCCCTCGGATACTCGTGAGACTTACTGGCCTGTAATTTCCTGGATTACTCTTTTCGCCCTTCTTAAAGATCGGTACGACGTTTGCGTAATAATAGAACAATAATATTTATTCTATCGTTCTTGCAGAACCCGTTGAATTCGTCTTGGGAGGATAACAAAAAAAGGATTTAAAAAAACATGGATTACTAAATTTCCAACTAGTCACTAATTTAACCCTTTCAGACCTGAATTAAGGCCGCTATCGGAATAATATCCTTTTTTTGCATTTTTCGTGATTGCAATGGACATTTTCAATCTTTATATGTAGTTCTGATATTTTAAAAAATAAATTTACCATATCATACCATATGTTATATATTAAACATTTAATTAAATAAGTGAAGATTACAAGACTTATAGGTGAAAGAAGGCCTCTGATAGAACTGAGCCATGCATAATTGCGCCCATTGTAGCCTAACATGGAACGCAAAGTCACGAGAATCCTAAGAAATTGCCATAGACACAATGTAAATGCAATGTCCATTGGAATGGACGCCAGGTGTGAAAGGGTTAACCTGGGCAGTTAATTTGAGATAGCAAATGTCGCTCAGTGAGTTGACATGTGGCACCATTCAGAAGGGGGCAGGTGAGAGAGGTTGCACTCAGTGGCGCAACCGAGAGGGGTTCAGGGGGTCTGAACCCCCACTCCAACCCCTGCTCATGATGGTACCCCTCTACTTCTCCATCCTCCTCCTCCCCAAGGGTGGGGGGAGGGGGGACGCAGAAAGATACCATGAGCAAACGATCTGAGAGCGAGGCTGGAAAGGCACAATGATAGGAGGTGAAAGGTGACGGTCACGCCAGTCACATGTAGCCACTCCGTTTAACAAAGTGAACCTGTCAAGGAAGCGTCCTGCAGGCAGTGCCACGTAGCACCAAATCTCATAGCACCAAAAACATGTAGGAACAAAAACTAGCGCTACTAGCGAATAAAAACACGTATCGTAGAAAACACAGAGCGCCTAATCTCGTAGGGTCAAATTTGATCTGAAGCCGAATACCACGATTAATATTTCTCGTGTAAGAAGAAATTGAAAGAAGAAATTGAAGAAATCGTGTAAGAAGAAATTGAAATAGTAAGATGTCAGAACAAATTTAGGATCAGTGGCGGCACCTAGGGGAGGATAGGCCCCCCTAAAATTATTTGGAGTATGCACTTATGCACTTTCCCATATATTTTCTCTTTGAAAAGTCCGTTTGGTACCTCGAATTTACGTAGGAAATTCCTATGATGTATTAATTCATTCGCAACTTACGCAAAACAAGCTAATTTCCGTCTGTGACAGCTGAATCCTGTCCAGAACTGCCAAGGAGAGACCTCTGACCCATAGATTACTCAGAACTTCTAATATTATTGGGTTGGAAAGAAAGTCTTGCAACACTTTCTGACGAAGCCCTGCGGAACGCCCTCAACGCGAAGCCGAACGTCATCACTCGCGAATTGGCAACTACACTTGGAGTCACCCATATGGCCATCGGCA